CCAGCCCCAAAGGGCACCAGTTGCCAAGAATTCAAAGTGTATTCCAACGTGTATTCATTGCTATGGTGCAACGCTCACCTGCATGGAAGGCACATGTGCTTTTCAGGTGTTTCTTTGCCAACAGAGTTACACCCATAAAAGAAGGAGTAAGAGTCAGTGCATAAGCTAGGAGTTAGACTAAAACAAATCATAAGTTTATTTCCAAAGAGCAGCCGTGATATTATCTAATGTTGACTAACTAATTGGAAAGAGAGAGGCGAAAGTTGAACCCTGCCATTGAATATGAATTGGAAGAGACAGTAAGCAGCAAATGCATCCACAAATATAGCTTGGACTCAGCAGTCAGAGGACAGCACTCTGTCTGAAGATGCCGGCCACAGAGACTGGCAAAACGTTAGGAAGAACAACCTTCAGAACACGGCCAAAGAGCCCGAAAAACCCACAACAACCATTAGATCCCGGCCATGAAAGCCTTTGCGAATACAATAATCTTTCTTCTTTGGCTACACTGTGGTGTAAGGAGAAGTGAGGAGAGGCAATTATAGAGAGGTAATTGTGAGACTGCAGCTAGTAATTCAGTTTTCGAGTCTGCTACTGGAAATTCACATAATATGATATTATACCACCTTTTATATCCTGCACTTTTTAGTACTTTTACACTTTTAAATCTATTTTTGGATAATGGTTTTGATAGTTCCATGTTTAATTCCTTTTTAATAGTTTACATACCTTGTTTTAATGAAATTTCATGATATACGAATCACTCTTTTGTACTGGTGCATGCATTCTTAGATAACAAAGGACCACTGGGGCAGGTTCATCAGAAGAATTACTGTATAGAAGATAGACTTTGGTGAAATATCAAGTTGGTATTAAACCACTGTGGAGAAGCAAGTTGGATGCTGCTTTCTGGGTAACTTTTGATTAATTGATTGGTGTGGCTGATGCTAGTTGTTCAGGTTCTGCAAGTTGATGTAGAGAATAGGAACATCTTGTGAATTGCACCACGCACCCATGTAAGAAGCAGTGACCTCAGACCAGTGTTGCTTTTCTTTGGCAAAGGGCACTCATCACTAAGGTGGTGGCTGCTTACCCTCCCCTAAGTGTTCTTGTGTGGTATGGGTGGTGGGGGTTAGGCAACCGCAAGTATGTGGAGTGTTGTACAGATTTCCCAGATAACATATGAGAAATACTGTATGTTGTAATTACACACAAAAGCCAGATCCTGAAACACTCAGACAGTTTGGAAAGGGGAAAGATGAAGCAGTATTGTTATTCCAGAAATGTACCCTGAGCATGTTTCATGGCATGCACAATTTGCAGCATGTAGAAACTGTAGCCACAGCTGATTGAGCTGTTATGGAAGGAGCTTTACTGGTTATTGAAATGAGGCATAAGTGAGGGTTTTCTAACAGGAACTGTGTCAGCCATTTATCACAAATTCACAAGGCTAAGACAACCTTCCCTTAACTATTTTTTTTGTACCTAATCTTTATATAATTCTTCCATAGTTATTTTGCAAGCAAAGCTTATACTGCTCTCCTGCATTCCATCATTAACTGGTGCTGGTTTCTTCATTTTGAAATGAAGGGCTTGTCGAAGTGGAAAATTTGTACCCCATTTTATACATGCTTTATTGCTGATGTTATTGATATTTTTCCTTCCATTCACATGACACAACCTTGTGCAGGTTCAATCAGCAACAAAATCTGTGACTTCACATATTTTAAATTTTCTTGGATTTTTTTTTTAAAGTTTGGTACTTCATAAGAATTGGCATGTAGTTATAAATGGCTTCCCACATCATTTCCAAGGTCACGCTTTCCCCTTTGGAAGTTTCAAATCACAAAAACAATACAAAAAAGGCTCCAGAAGAGTAGTTCAAGTTAGGAATTAGTATTAGAAGATCTTTTCAAGACACTTCTTGATTGTTTGGAGGTCAGAGTTTCCTAGTTGGAAGCATGCAATTAAGTTTTAATTAGGTCACACACACACACATGCACATACGCACACTCCACAAAGGAAGCTTCCGTGGGGAATTTGACTTTGACTAGGAACAGATGCATGAATAGTCTCTTTAGATCAACATGCAAACTGAAAAGCAGCCAGAGACAACAGTGGGGTTGATGACTTCCCTTCCTTTACCTCCTCAAAACAACCCTTCTGGGGTGCTTATTCTTCTTGCATGTCAACCCCTTGCCTGTACACAACAAGTGTCTGTGTGGGGAAAGGATCCTCCTCCCCACTTTCTTGAATGACTGGGACAAGAGGGTAGACTGGTTGGGTGAGTAAATGTTGTGAGCTTATGTACAATCTTTGAGAGGTATAGGTTGCCCTTGACATTTTTTAGTCCTGTCATGTCCGACTCTAGGGGGCCGTGCTCATCTCGCTTTTCAAGCCGTAGAGCCAGCGCTTGTCCGAAGACAGTTTCCATTGTCACATGGCCAGCGTGACTAGGGAACACCGTTTTACCTTCCCACCGAAGTGGTACCTCTTTATCTACTCGCATTTACATGCTTTCGAACTGCTAGGTTGGCGAGGAGCTGGGACAAAGCTCACTCCGTCGCATGGATTCTATCTAAGACCATGGAACTGGTGGAAGCAGACATGACAGGTAAGAAGGCAGTCATGTGGCATTGGAGAAGAAGGCAGGCCTTCCTCTAGGTCAGTGGTTCCCAACCTTGGGTGACCCAAGTGTTCTTGGACTACAACTCCAAAAAAACAGCGGGTGGAGAAAGCTTCTGGGAAGCTTTCTTCCCAGAAGCGTTCTCGGTCCAAGAACACCTGAGTTATCCAAGGTTGGGAACCACTGCTCTAGGTCATAGCCAAAGACACCATTTGTCCACAAATGCCTCCTGTTCTTCTTACCTGTGGTGAGATTTGGCCACCCCTTGTTTAGATGTGCTTCCCTATGCTCGGGGGTATAGTGGTATGAGGGTGCACCCTATCCCCCCTTTGTTTCCCCCGTCAACAGAGGCTGATTTGTATTCACCATGAAACTTTCAAATACAACATTAACCTTATCAAACAACCCAGTAGTCTTTTCCCTTGCCAACAGGGCAAGGAAAATTTTGGGTTCCCCTTGTCTCAGAAAGGTCCCTCTGTTCTTAGTCTGTTGTCATGTTCCACGCATGTTTTAATGTCTCCTCTGAGCCCTAGGCAATGGCAGCAGTAGGGGCAGTGTATAGTCTCCACCCCTCTCTGTCGCCTGCGAGACGTGTGAGGCACCTAACCACTTGGATGGTGATTGATCCCATTGAGGTTTCTATGCAGCCCGCTCCTTCCTCTTTTCTTCTTCCTGTTCATGGGTCAAAGGGTTTTCCCATCCAACCTGCTAAGACCTGCTTTTCTCTCTTCGCTTCTACTATCCTGGCCTCTACTTCTCTCCCTCCTTTTTCTTCTCTGCCACCCCCAATTTTCTTCTCTTCCCTATTTATACCTTCCCATTTTTATCTTCCCCTTCCCTCTCTTTCTCAGTCTTTCTCCCTCTAGTCCTACCTCGTCTCCAGCAGAGGGTTTGAGGTTGGATGGGTTTTTTTTCCCCTTCCTTCCCCCCCCCCCACTGTATTGTTGGCCTGGGTTTCCTCTCTTTTCCAGGGCAGAGAGGACAGCATGCAGGTGGATGGTGAGATCATTCCTCCCCCTTTTCCACAGGTAGTATATTTGGAAGTGCAGGTGTCTCTCCTTTCCAGACTGCAAATCCTTGATTCAGAAATACAGAGAATTGTAATGGTTCATCTCAACAAATGAGGACCAAGTCATTTGGAAAGGTAGTGGCTCTGAATTGCCCATTCAAAACCAAGTCATCCTCAAATACTTTGAATTACAATACCGTGTTCCTGAAAAAAAAACCCTCTTTCTATCCTAGCTACTGTGAGGAGTACAGCTCAAAAACAACAGGGAAGGCCAGTGGGATGGCAGTAGTGGTAGATGATGTCAAAGTCTGGGCTACTGAGAAATTTGTGGAGTTCAGAGCTTGGGAGACCTGGCTCCTTTTTATCACTACTCCCAATTGTTTCTGAGAACACAGAACCCATGTGCCATGGATCTCAGAAATGGTTATACAGTCACTTCTGATGCACATCAGCATTTAATTAATAATGTTAGGAAGAACATCTGCAACACACAAGACATTCACTTCCATCACTTGTGTTGCTGCGTAAAATATTGATAAATTTTTGTTTATGTAATATACCAGCACTGGAAGGAATACCAATATCAGTTCTTGGTATTCCTTCTACTGGAAAGCGGAACAAAAACATTTTTGTGTGTCGGTAGGGAGAGAGATTAACAAAATTCAGGGAAAAAATGCATTTATGGGGTGCAGTGTTGCTGCCCTAAAAATGGAAAGTACGGTACTTTTAAAAAAGAAGTCTTAAAGGTTGTTTATTTATTTATTTATTTTATTGGATTTTTACCCCACCCCTCTAGACCATGTCTACTTGTTGAGAAAGTGAAAGTACATCTGTCAAGTGCTTCATGGAGGACAGTTTATATTACAAACCCAAAACACCTAGTTTGTTTTGAAACAAAGCTACTGATAAGATAACCATGCAGAAATAATTCATTCAGTTTTGTGCCAATTTTTGTTAGAAGGAGTTCAATGATGTATAAACTGATGACTGTTATTTTACATTGTTTATTTCTTGATAAGCAAGTTGAGAAGAGAAAGAGGGTTCTCATTTGTTTTATGAGGCTTTAGCCAGAAATCTGTAAGAGGTAATTCTTGCGAGAAAGGGTAAAATTTTATGTTATTGTTATGTTCCTGCCTGCCCTTTGGTTGTTTCACCAAGCAAACGGCACAAGCCACGTGTTGTGTCGCTGCCACCAGTTGATTACATCAACATTGTTTATTATTAAGGATAGAGATCCTGGCAATGTGTCATTTTTAAAAGAACCAAATAGAAGTTGTTGATTATTACAAGAGATGAAGGTACAATCAATGTCATTAGCTCGTAACAAAACATCCTACTTCATCCACCCTCCACTGCCAACCCTCTCTCTCTCTCCCAAACACCAAATCCTTTACTGGGATAATGTCAGCTATGATGAATCATAGGCTTCTGTAATTTGCCTGAGAGCTTCATAAATTTTTGTAGGATTCCTGAGAGTAAGGCATCCTTATCAGGATCTGACAGTACCTCCTTCAGTTCCTGATCCGTTGAATCCCTCCTGCAGCACATAAGTGGCAAAAAGGGCAGAAGTTTGACTGCCAGTATAAATCTGTACATTATTACCTAGGAATCCCTCTTATTGAGTCCAATGGGTCTTGCCCAGGGAAGTCATTACAAAACAGAAGCTGAAACTGTGATCCAATAGGGCTGATTCAAGGAAAAATAATCCAGCTTTCCTTAGAGGTGCTTGATGACCTTAAGTCCACATTTCATAAAAGCATGACAAACTGCAATGGGAGGTTTTTCTGCATCCATGTAGATTGTTGGCTTCTTTGGACAATCGTGGTGCTGTTTCAGAGGAATGGTCTACACTGCCTGTGCTGGCCTTGGGAAAATATGGCTCCACATATAGTCTACCAGAAAGCTTGGCAGGTAAGAGACGGGGAGGTAGAAAAGCTTTGCATCCCAGCCTGCAGAGTAACGAGTGCGAGGGTGGCAGGAAGTCAGGGCATGCTCTATTTGGTCAGTCACAAGGCAGAGGTTGGTGGAGCATAGTGGATGGAGTTTCTGGAGTAATCTGTAAACTGCACATGAAAAATATGAAGCAAAAAAAGTTAAAACTTTTATATTCCTAAAACATGTTTTAAATTAGGGTCAGGTGACCCCAAATTGCGGTGCTGGAGGAGGCTCTTGAGAGTCCCCTGGACTGCAAAGAGAACAAACCTATCCATTTTGAAGGAAATCAACCCTGAGTGCTCATTGGAAGGACAGATCCTGAAGCTGAGGCTCCAATACTTTGGCCATCTCATGAGAAGAGAAGACTCCTTGGAAAAGACCCTGATGTTGGGAAAATGTGAAGGCAAGAGGAGAAGGGGACGACAGAGGATGAGATGGTTGGATAGTGTCATCGAAGCAACTAACATGAATTTGCCCCAACTCCGGGAGGCAGTGGAAGATAGGAGGGCCTGGCGTGCTCTCTGGTCCATGGGATCACGAAGAGTCAGACACGACTTAATGACTAAACAACAACAACCCCAAATGCTTTGGACTGCCAACTCCCACAATGGTAGCCAAAAACCAGCTGGAGCCTTCCAGATTGGAGAAGGCTGTGCTAGGGTGATACTTGAAAAGGTGGATGAACTTCTCAGGAATACCTACCCATTACACTTTGAAATGGTACATGTCTGAAGCAGTCCCTGCACAGCTACCATTTTGGAGCAAGTTCTGTGGTCAGTACAGAACTTTCAAATAAGAAACTGAACCCCTGAAATGATGTATTCAGGGAAGTGGCTGTTGCAGTCCAGAACATCTGACAGCCCCTTAGTGGCGTATTCCTGTTATAAGGAGAGGCAATGCCGTTTTCCAGACACAGCTGTCCATAGCCAGATGTGCATGGAATATACTATTATTTAATAGCTAGATGGAGGGAAGTGTCAAATGTTTCAGTTTTTTCTGCTACATTCACCTTGCTTAAATCTCAAGTTCAGAAATATTTTGAGAATTTTGCTAAGTGTTTAACAGAAATGAAAGCAATGAAATCCTCAGCCTTCTGCACTGACTCGAATCAGCCACGGCCAGTATGAAGAGACATGTGTTGTGCGTGCCTGCTTGCCTTGCAGATACTAAAGATAAGGAGGCTTTCAGAAATGAAATACAGCAACCATTATCCAACATCAGAAACATATTTGAAAATAAGGGCATCCAAATCCACACTTTGAAGAGCTAAGCATTCCAGCATTTACCTCTATGGGTGAATTGGTAAGGTTCACTGTCTCTCACATCAAGTGTCAAGTTCATGAAAAAAGAAACATATTTTGGAAAATTCATTTGAAAAATGAACAGAATTAACTTCTTACCCATCTGTGCCAGATGGCACTGGAAATAACTTCATCATGTAGAATGAGAAATAAACATAAATCAATTTGTCCATTCAGGGTTTCCTCCACTTCTAACTTTTTAATGCTCAGATTGTTTGTCCTAAGCTTTGACAATATTCCCAGTCTTTCCGTTCATCTGTAATGCTAAGAATTTTTTTAAAATTGCAAGAAAATGTACACACATGTTGTGCTCATTTGTCAGAATACATTGACTTTTCTGCATGACATGATCTGCTTCTTTTTGCATATAATGTGTTTTTAACATTGTTTCACAAATATGAATTTTACTGGGCAGTTCTTGTATGCATGTTTTTCACATTAAAGAATTACACTGAGATTTTTCAGAGGATAAGTGATTTTTTTGTTTGCATATTACTGTTGCTGTTGCTGTTTTTATGTGCTGTCAAATCACCTCTGAAGTATAGAGACCCTATGAAGGAGTACTCTCCAACATGTCTTGTCCTCAACAGCCCTCCTCAATTCTTACAAACTCATGCCCTAGTTACATCTCGACTAGATTACTGTAACACGTTCTACGTGGGGATGCCTTTGGAAAGTGTTTGGAAACTCCAGAGGGTCCAAAATGCAGCAGCCAGATTGCAGACTGGGGCTGGTTACAGAGATCATGTGACACACACACACCCTTGGTTATAGCAGCTTCACTGGCTACTGATCTGTTTCCGGGCACAATTCAAATTGCTGGTGTTAATCTATAAAGACCTAAACAGCTTGGGTCCAAGTGATCTAAAAGATCACATCTCCCTCTATGAGCCTGCCTGGGCATTAAGGTCATCAGAGGAGGCCTTTCTCTCAGTCCTGCTACCTTCACAGGTGTGCTTGGTGGAGATGCAGGAGAGGATCTTTTCTGTTGCTGCTCCCAGACTCTGGAATTCCCTCCCATGGGAGCCAGGCTGGCCCCATCATTGCTGTCTTTCCACAAGTAGGCAAAGACTTTTCTCTTCAGGCAGGCTTTCCCTTAATAACTAGCAGTCTGAGAGGGGTTTTTAATGGATTGTTGTGCTCTGTTGTTTTAAATGTGTTTTAGTATTGATTTTAATACTGTTTTTAATGTAATACATGTTTAACTTTTTAAAAAAATATTTGTATACCTACTGTTTTTTGCTTTTAAATATTGTATTTTGATGATTTAAGCCACCTTGGGTTCTTTTTAAGGAGAAAGGTGGGAAATAAATAAATAAATAAATAAATAACAATACATCCATAAAATCCAGTAAAAAGAGCTCAACTGTAAAAAAAACCCAGTAAAATCAACTTAGTGTATAACTAAAAGCAACACTGCAGGGCAAGTTTAACATCTTACACAAGTAAAAATAATGTGTTTTCCCACCCTTCTTGAAATCAGTCAGAGTGAAACTAAAGGTAGTTCTGAATGAGGTATTGATAAACTTAAGAGGGCTTCTTGTGAAGACCCAAACACCCTGACAGATGGTTCCTCAGATAACCAGGGTTCGAGACATTTCAGGCATTACACTGCAAGCAGTGCAGCTCAACCAGTGCAAACCGTTTTCTCCTTTATCCATTTTTGTATGTTTCATGTATGAACTTTTCTGCCTTTTTTTTAAAGGCCACAGTTTCTTTTGCAGCTTCTTGGTGCTGCTTGCTGAGGTCAGAGCTTGGATGATTGAATTTGGACAATTCTTGTCCAATTCGTTTCAGTTGCCACACCACTGATATGTGGCTCGCAAGAGGATTTTCTGAAATTTAACTCACTTTCTTCGAAGTACAGCTGTCCATAGGCTTCTCTGGCATCAGGAGGTGCCCGGCTCCATGCAGCTTTGAGACTCTCACTAGATGTATTGACTAGGGGTGTAGCAAAGCCACCAGGCTCAATAATGCTGACTTGGACTCCAAAGGGAATGAGGTCACGTCTGAATTGGAAGGAAAAAGAGAACCAAAGTTATAGTGATTACAACATAACATTGATAAAAAGTATTCAGTTTGGGAATGCTCTGCTCGGTTGAATGGAAGGGTTCCCACAATTTCTGTAATAGAAAAAGTGCTTCTCAAGAGCCCATACTTGAAAACAAGACTAGATGTTCAATAAGGAGGCAGATGAGAGCAACCCTCTGAACCATGCCAGGCTGCTATGGTGGCTGGGAGTGCAGTGAGACCAGTGCCAATGGTTGGTGTACTTAGAAGACTGAAGGTAAATGGGGAAAGGACCTTCTATCATCACCACACCCCAACAGTCCCCTTTGCTGCTGCTGTTCCCCTTGGGGAAAGGCAGAGGTGAGCTATCTGAGAAACAGCTGCTGCAAGTCATTTTAGTCAAAGTGCTGTACTATGTCTTTCTGTGAAATGCCCAATGAAAAGCAACTAGAAATCCCAAATAAGAAATAATTAGCTGTTTGGAGAAATGTGTAAGTAGTTTAAAAAAATAAAATTCATAGACCTGGGATTATGTTTATAAAACTATTTCAACAGGTAAACTTGTTGCATTTTTACCAGTGAGAAGCAGAGTTTTAACACTAGCACTGAGGTTCATATTTTCCGAAGGAATTATGGAATTATGTTAGTGCATTACGTAATGTTTCCTGTGCTATCTATCAGTGATTCATTCAATCTCAGAATTTTACCCAAAGTATTGTTTTACAGTTAATGGCCATTATTTCATATACAGCATATGTACTCAACTAGATCCTTCTTTATTATACTTAAGAAAAATTGATACAATTCTAGAATGGTTGTTCTTATGTGCTTGTTTCTGACCAGAGGCAAAACTATGAATTAATGATCTTTTAAAAAATCCTGTTAACACAGTTTACAAACTAAATGCTGTAGTTTCTTTTATTGAGTTTCTCCATCACATATTGTGTCTTCCTGTTGTCCAGCTGCATTGCTGCTTGTTCCTTTCCTTAGTGTCAAGGACTTTTTCGAGTTTCTTCATAGCTGTTTTTCCAAGCCTCAGTTTTCTTCTGATTTTTTGGCTGCAGTCTCCATTTTAATTGATGATTAACCAAAGTATGGAAAACCTTCAATACCTTCTATTTCTTCATGGTCAACCTTAATCTTACAAAATTCTTATTTAGTCATTCTTTTTGTTAGATTACAGTTCAGGTACAATCCTCTCATTGTTCCTTTTAACTTTCATCAGCTCTTCCTTCAAGTCATTGCTATTTGCTAATCTGAAATGACTGATGCTTTTTGCACCAGTTTTCACTACTCCTGTGTCTCCAAGTGTGTCTATTCCAGCATTTCATGCGATATGTTGTTCATAAAGATTGACCAGATAAGGAGATATAATGTGCCCTTGTCTAACATTGTTAATTGGAAACTATTCTATTTTTCCTAAGAGGAACCTCTTGCCTAAAGGGGATCTGATGGATTAGGACAGTCAAATGTTGTGGCACACACATGTTGTGGATTGCAGGCATTTGTTTTCTGCTGCGATGCTTTCCTGGACATGGTAAAAATTTTGGAGGAAGCACATCTCTAGAATCCAAAACAGAGCAAATGGAATGTCCCTAACAGACATATTTCCCAGTGTCTGTTATTAATCACTGTAAGTCAGGATACCTGAGTTTGCATTTATAACCTGGGGGAAATGGCACTGCTATTTTACCTCAGGGTGTCAGAGAAGGCCTCCACACCATACTTAGATAGGGAATAACCTCCTCCGTAGACAGCCACTCTTCCTGCCATACTGGCCATGTTGACCACCCTCCCTCTGGCTCTTCTCACCAGGGGCAGCATGTGCAGTGTTACATCGATCATCCCCAAGAGGTTGATATTTATCACATTTGCAAAGTCCTCCTTGGTCAGCCATGCATTGGGAATTGGACCATTTATTACACCAGCATTGTTGACCAATCCCCAAAGACCTGTATCAAGAAATAATTTACATATTTAGAGTTCTGCTTATCTCTGATGGTTCCACATCTCTTAAGATATTTACTAGGGTTATGAAGTAAATCCCTCCCCCACATTGGTTTGGAAGTCAGTATGGCGATTTGCATCAGCACCTGTTTGAAGCCTTGCGTAAGAACCGTGGTTTAGAAATCAGAAGATCTGTCACTTGATCAGAAAGACTAAAATGCCTATAACCTAGTTCATACATCACCATATGAAACTTGACAGTGTATTGAGTCACAAAGAGAAGATTTAGTATGCCAAATATCAGGCCCACAACTTCTCAAAATTTTCTGCTAACCATTTCCAAATTTTGCTAATGCCATGGCAGAAATGCCCTTTCCACATCTAATGTAGCTTCACATAGTGAAGAGAACACTGGAGAAACTTCAGAAGTATATTTCCTGTGTAGATAATTCACACTGGCATGATGCCAGAGGGAAATCCTACTTTACCTCAAAAGACCCAAGGAAATGGTGGAGCAAAAAGGTGGAACCTTCACCTCTAAAGCTCTGGTGTAGCAATTTCGTGAGAAGAAGCCATCTTGGAAGGGAGCCACCAATGGAGATAAATAAATACTCCACCCACTCCTTTGGCTCAATCAGGTGGATGGCTGCCTCTTCAACTCTGCTAAGGGAGGATAATTTGGGTGAATACGTCCTTCCTGATTGCTACCTCATTTTTAAAGTCTTTTTAAAATATTTGGACTCGACTTGCGACTTGTACCCATTTTTTCCAAGTTGATTTTTTGAGTCTTGTTATTTTTTAATGGAGATTTGCAGGCAGAGACAGGCAAATGATTATTCTATTTTCCACCAAAGTAACCTTTCTGGGTTATATATAATTTCCCCAATAAACCTCAACTGATTAGCCAAATAATAATTTTTTTTATATTTGGGATGACTATACCTCCTTTTTTGGTTGTTGTTTTATACCAATATTTTTTATTTATTCTGGCTCTCTTCCCTTCATTGCAATATTTATTATTAATTCTTTGCCAAAATGTAAGTTTGAAATCATCTTCTGTTAACTGTATTGGTAACATTCTAAATATAAAAAAAATATTTTTAGTAGAATCTTCACTTTTATCAGTGCAATCCTTCCAAACCATCTTAAAAAAACAAAAACAAATCTAAGTCATGTCTGAGTTGAGTGCCCATCCCTGGAAGATTCTAAACAGTGTATTTCCTCTGTAGACAATTCACACTGGTGTGAAGCCAGAGGGAGATGAGGAGAAAGTTTGTTGTGGCAAATACCCCAACTTCACAGGGGTGTGTGGGAGAGAAGCCACTGGTAATGGTGGGGCTAATAAATAAATGAAATGTTAGGAGGATCTATGCAGTTTATAAATAAGAGTAAATAAATAAATAAATAAATAAATAAAACTAGAGGGACTTAGGCCACACCCAGTCTCTATGGACTGAGGCAGCCCAGTGATTTTTGTCAAGTAAACATGTATCTGAGGTAAACTAATCATGTTGCTTGAACAACAGCTGTCAAGGGAGTCTGTCACCTTTGCTTCCAACACATCCTTTCACCCACTCTGTTGCTGCGGCAACACTCTCTGTGCTGGTGACATCCAAAATGGTGGTTTTGAGTCGCCCCGAGGTGGCCTTCTGAAGCTCCTCTGCCCCCTTCTGGGTGAGACAGGCGGCCAGCACCCGCATACCCCGGGCATCCAGCTGCCTGGCAAGCGCTCTCCCAAAGCCAGAGTCACAGCCAGTGATGAAGACATGTTTCTCTGTCAGGTACTCCACAGTCTGTCTCTCCCGGTACCATCGGCGAAGGAAGTAAAGCCCCAACAGGGCGAGCAGGTAGAGCCACATGGCTAAGGCCTGTGAAGAAGGCAGGTCAGAATAGGAGCGATTTAGATCTGGTCTAGAGGGGCAGGGTATAAATCCAATTAAAGTACAGTAAAGTAAAGTAAATGGAGCAATGACAAGGATAGTTCAGCTATCACAAGGATATGTTAACTGTAAAGCAAGACCTGATATTATCATGTAATACTGTACGTATTTGGGAAGGGAAGGGGGATGTTGATCTCACTGCTTGGACCTTCCAGTTTGTTACAAGGTTTTGCTGATCCACTAAAACAAATTCATTACCGTTTGAAGATATTGCAATACTGTAGCATGCAGAACTTGATCCAGGTCATTTGTGTCATAATTTTCTTTGGTTCTAAAGGCTTTTTTTAGTCTGTAAAGCTGGCTGCCACAGGACTTTACATTCATTTCAAGAACTCAGCAGCATAATCCAGATTTTTTAATAATTCAACCACACTCAGAATTTGCCATCTGACTTTAGAGTCACTGTGGCTCTGGAGAAAAGAGACAACCTCTGTAGCCTTGAGCAGCTCTTCAGCCCACAGAAGGGAAAGGAAAAATGTATTTATTTAAGTATTCACTTGCTAGAAAACCCTAAAATGGGCTATTATCTCTTAGGATTGATTTGACAGCATGCCATTATTCTTCATTAATCCCTGTACTGCTTCCTCAATGGAGGAAAATACAATTTTTTTAAAAAAAGGAAAATGCACTTTTTACACAGAAAACAATGTTATTCAAAGTCCTGTTCTGAATTGTGTTGAAACTCTAAGCTCAGTTACACATCCAAAAGCCCCTGCTTTTGAATCAGGTTTAGCATGTTTCGAATAAATTTTTCAAAATGACGAGTCCTTGACACACGGGGAAGTTTTTGATTTATTTTGACAAGAAGCATGTATTTTTGGTTGTAAATCGAGGTTTATTATTAGCCCCAGAGAGATTGTTTATTTTAACTTGCTTGTGAAATTGGTCTGTTTTGAATGTTTTTTACATATATGGATGCCTCTATATTAAACTGTGTCTATGGGGTTTGTCACGTTTTGCATGTTAAGGCCAACAAATCATGCCCAAGCTGTAGTTTCTGGACATGGCTCTTAGGGAATGATCAGAGCCAGCTCCAGGCCAATTCCCTGATCCCATCCTCTGAGAGCCTGTCCACGAGGATACCATGGTCAACAGTATCAAAGGCTGCTGAGAGATCCATGAGCACCAACGGGGTAGATCCTTCCCTATGAGCCTCTCTTAAAAGGTCATCTTGCAATGCAGTCAGTGCCATCTCGTCACCTCGTCACAGCTTGAATACTGACTGAAATTGATCAAGGCACTCCTGCTCCTCCAGGTACGCTTGAAGCTACTCTCACCACCCTCTTGATCACCTTGCTCTTTAACAAGGGTATGTTGGTGATCAGCCTATAGTTTATAAAAATTTCCATCATCAGATGTGGACATTTAACTATGGGCCAGAGGACGGTTTCCTTCACCCAGGAGGGAAGAGATCCCTCCCTCAGTGAGGCATTAATAACATTCACAGCCCAATCAGTCATAATTGACAGCTTTTATCAATGAAACAGGACAAAGAGTGGCAGCAGTCTGCAACTGGACAGCGCCCTGCATACATTCTCTGGTGTTACAGGGTCAAACTGAACCACTCGGGCAGAAGGATAGGTTACAGCAGCGATCCCCACCCAATTGACCAAACTGCTAGTGTAGATCAGCCTGAAAAGCCTCAATTTTAGATTTTAAAAAGGCTGCAAATTGATAACTGGTGAAATCACCAGCATGAAGCCATTGCTGACCAGGGTTGGTGAGGTTATAGACCACCCAGAAAAGTTCCACTTGATGATTTGCAGCCCCACCAATGATAGATATTAAAAGCCCCCCCTTTTTTTGCTTTGGCATATCTCCTGGTCAGAATCTCAACAGCAGCCAGATCTTGATTGGACTGGTCCTTCCTCCACCTACTCTCCAGGCATCTCCTTGCTAACTTCAAAACCCGGAGCTCACCAGGATACCAGGGGACAGGGCAAACTCTGAACTGGAGAGGGCATTTGGGAATGATAATGGCAACCGCCCAACTCCTCTCTGTATAACATCTGTCATCCTGGCTTTGACAAGGTCATTAGTCAGATCCAAAACTCATTAGGGCTGAGAAGTCTCCAAAGGCAGACCGTTCTTTTTTAGGTCCCTTTTCCCCATGGAGGGGGGGTTTGTCCACAACAGGTTAAAAATCACCAGGACTTGTCCCAAAAGGATGCACACAGTGATACAAAATCCATGTGACTGCCACATAACTTCACAACAATTTGAAAACCCCCAGTCCAGAATCCAGTCTATCCCACCTATTCCTAATAGTTACATCAAATTGCTCATAAGGGTGATACTTCATACTTCTTTCACAAGCCATGAAAGGTTGCACTCACTGATGATGCCAACAAGCCAGCTGCTGTTGAGGTGCATGAGAGCAAACCTGGCTAACCAGATTTACTAGTGAGCTAACATCTTAAATTTCTATCATCCTCACTGAGGTTTTACCTATTTAATACAAATTTCAATTATCCCCACTGGATTTTATGCCTTTCTCTTCCAAGTGAAGGTATTTAGAACACTTTCAGCCCCCCTCACTAGTCAATGATGCTTCTGGATTGAGACATTTCTTTTAAAATTTGTGAGTTCCATCTTAGCACACAGTGGAGCTTACTTGATTTCTACTCCATTGGGCAAATTCTTGCAAAAGATTATGCCTGCAAGCTAATTCATATGTTAAGTAAAACATGTTTTTGTAGTGAAAGCTGGCTGTTGGAAACTGACCTGTTGGAGACAAAGTGTGCTTGATCTGGTTGTACAGAAAGCAGAGACTTCCTCACCTCTTCTGGCACTTTGTTTCTTCTGCTGCTATAATACATATGCAGAAGAGAAGGGTGTACGCTGAATTTTGAATCATAAAACCACCCAACTGCAGGGAACTCCTCCCTCCCAGCATTCCATACTTGGCAGCATGACTTTTAAGAAGAATGAGGAGGGAATGACAGGATGATATACCAGGTGTCTGAGAATCAACCTGCAGCTTCTTGTTATGGATAACTTCAATGTGTCTTAATATTCCTTTGGCTATCTAGCCAGTTGGAAAGTAGAGGCAAATGTAGCTATTCTCCCTCTCTCATTTTTTTTATTCCCACAGCGAAGCAGGTCACTAGGGCTTCTGGTGCTGATCTAAGATTGTGATCAGATTAGGTGTTTATTGCACTGTTTTAACCATTGCAAGGGCAGACTGGGGCACTCTTGAAGATGCAGACAATATATTTACTGGAGTGAAGCAGCCTTCCCTCAGTGCTTTTCTACCTGTACCTTTCTGATTCTTCTTTGATTTGCCTCTTTCACTCTGCAATATTGTGAAATGTTGCTTCCGGCAAGGCACCTAGGAAACATAACATCCCTGTGAAGTGCTGAAGTGCTGTAATGAGATCATTACCACTGAGCTGTATGAAATCTTCTGTCTTTGCTGGAGGAAAGGTGGATTACCACAGGACATGAAGGATGCAAGCATCCTCACATTCTACAAGAACAAAGGCTACAGGGGCGACTGCAGTAACTACCGTGGCATCTCTCTTCTTAGCATTGTAGGGAAGCTGCTTGCCCGTGTTGTGCTGAAGAGGTTTGAGGTGCTTGCAGACAGGGGCTATCTAGTATCACAGTGTGGATTTCAAGCTAATACAGTACTCGTAGATCCACCATTGACATGGTATTTTCCCTCAGGCAGTTGCAGGAGAAATGTAGGGAAAAACGACAGCCACTCTTTGTGGCTTTCATAGATCTTAGAAAGGCCTTTGATTTGGTTACCACGGACGGCCTTGCGCCAACTCTGTTTGGGATCTTTTTTGCTGTCATGCTGAGGCACACGTTTGGAACTGCAACATAAGGTGTCTATCTCCAGACTAGATCAGATGGAAAGCTCTTTAATCTCTCTAATTTGAGAGCGAAGACCAAAGTCCAGCTGAAAAGTATGTGGTACTTCCACTTTGCCGATGATGCAGTTGTTGTTGCCCATTCTGCTGAAGATCTCCAACAGTTTATGAACCATTTTAGTAAGGCTTGTCAAGATTTTGGATTAACAATCAGCCTGAAGAAAATATAAGTTATGGGCCAGAGTGTGGACTCACCTTCCTCTATCACCATCTCTACACAACAATCAGAGATTGTTCATGATTTTGTCCTAGAACAAGCTGGAATTTTTAGCATGTATACATTACTGAAACAGCGGCGTCTACGTTGGCTCAGGCGTCTTGTGAGAATGGCTGATGGTTGGATTCCAAACGATCTTCTGTATGGAGAATTAGTGCCCCAGAGGTAGATCACAGCTGTGATACAAGGATATCTGCAAGTGGGATCTGAAGGCCTTAGGAATGGAGCTCAACAGATGGGAAACCCTGACATCTGAGCGTTCAGCCTGGAGGCAGGTGGTGTAGCATGGCCTCTCCCAATTTGAAGAGTCACTTGTTCAGCAGATCAAGGCCAAGAGGCAGTTCCCAAACCAGCAAAATCAGGGAGCTGGACAGGGGACAGATTGTATTTGTCTCAAGTGTGGAAGGGATTGTCACTCTCCAGTTGACCTTCTCAGCCACACCAGAAGCTGTTCCAAGACCTCTGTTCAGAGTACATTACCATGGTCTCTCAAGACTGAAGGATGCCTACATTTTAAAAAATGTGAAATGGCTTAATAAGAGCCACTTCATGATACACTAGGACTCCCTTATCTATGGGATCAGTAGCCACTGATTCACTTATCCATGGTCTGAACATATTAAAAATATTCAAAGAAAAAATTCAGAAAAAAGCCTACTTCCACATGTGTTACCAGAACCAGCCACAAGAGGGAGAAAGAGACCATGGTATGAATACTTGTTAATGAAGAACACATAGCATGGTCTCTGGCGCGCTCTCGTGCTGAGTTTTAGTAGTGCAGGTAAAATAAGTTTTGTGGGTTTTTCCCCCTTTTACCATGCTATTTATATAGTCTTTGCCTATATAAAAACTTGTTCACAGTTTTTAGTGTCTGCAGGGAGGCTTGGAACCAATCCTCTGTGGATATGGGGGTCCTATTGTACAGATAAATTAAACAGTTCCTTGGATTCATGGAAAAATATAATTTGCCTATATCATGATGTGGTTTTTATTAAGGAGAGGCTTCCTTTGGAAAGCTGAACCCTCCTTTACTCATGTGTGTGCGCACGCATGTGTGCCTGTCTGTCTCTGTGCCCTTGCTCCCCTTCTCTCTGCTCTCTCTCTCTCTCTCTCTCTCTCTCTCTCTCTCTCTCTGTGTGTGTATTGGCTTGGGTTTTTAAAAGAGGCAAGCAGAGCAGGGGCAGGAGGGGAATTTTAGTTTACTTTTTTCAACTGGACCTCCCAGTGATCTTATTTACTCCACTGCAGCCCATTCCAAGATGGGCATGGGCAGGTTGGTAGAGAGGATGGTGGATCTTCAGGTGCAACAGACTGAAACAAATAAGGACTTTAATTACTTAAATAGTGGTGACACCTCAGTCAAAATCATGCTGCTTAAATATGAGCACCAGGAGGCAAGAATAAGTAAGGGAGAGGTGTTACCCAAATTGTATGAGTCAGCCCAAATATTCAACACAGGAACCCCAGACACTCAAACATTTCATGTTTGTGTTCCAGCCTCAAATGCAACCTTCTCTTTCCAAGATTTAACAGACTCAACTCTAGCAGGGAACTGTGTGGCAACTTTTTTATTGGGTTTCTCTTATTAGTATGTATATTGCTTTTTTATTTCCTGCTGTATTCCTTGTCTTCCTTACATTATACAATGGAAGGGTCTAGAGACAACATGAGGCTGGATACACAAACCCTTATTAGGGATGGCCAGCATTGTCCTAAAACCAGTCCAAAACTGTTGTACAGGCCTTGCCTCTGGCACCGCCCCAAAATCCCCCCTCCTAAGTAGTTAGTATAAGAAACTGATAAGAAACCTGTAAGAAAGGGGTTTGTCTTTGTAAGGGGCTTTTGCTTGCATTTAGAGCATAGCCACTAGAGTCCATCTCTTCCCTTTAATAAAATTGTGTTTGTATCTCACTAGTCTCCTTTTCTCAGTCTTCCACCAAGGATGATCCCCACTTAGATTTTGGATAACAGAGGGAGAGGGAGGGAGGGAGAATATCCCCATGGTGCAGTAATGAAATGTATGCTTCCGCATTTGTGTGTGTGTGTGTTTGTGTGCCAGTTATTGTGCATGCCACTGTCCCAAGGTTGGGTCAGGATGTAGTTGTTATTTCCATGGGCTCCAGACCCTGGTTAGGATACAGAGTGGTTTTTATTGTAGGACTAGAAATGTTACTTTGACCAAATTCCGGGAGGCAGTGGAAGACAGGAGGGCCTGGCGTGCTCTGGTCAATGGGGTCACGAAGAGTCAGACATGACTTAACGACTAAACAATAGAAATGTTACAGACAAGGTTTCCTTAAAATTCCTCTCCCCTTGATCCTGTCCTGGGCACCATTCCCTTCACTAGCTGAGAAAACTTTGAATCTCTGGGAACCTCCAGTTAGCTCCACTGGGGCTGGGTACAGAAGCACAATATCCTGCATTCATAAACCGGAGGATTTTTTCCCCCAAAGAATGGACTATTGTGGCTTTTAAAAGCAGGCGTATAAATATACGAAACGAAAACGAATACACAAATCCCAACACAAATGTCCCAGATATAGAATTACCCAATGCTGGAGGATTTCAGAAGAGGACCACATGATCTGTACTATGGTTATTGGGGTGAGGGTGTGGGGGACAGGAGGAAGAACAGCTTGGATGTGGCTTGTAGTCTCTCCGTCCCAAAATATTTTGGAGGACTGTTCTGGACTTCATGAAATGGTGAAGCAAAGGTGTGAGTAGGGGAACACGTGAAATGGAGGAAGACTCTTTAACCTGTCAGATAAAGTATTGTTGCCATGCTTGTTCCACAGAATGGAGACTAGAAAGCCATGTCCCAATTTCCAAACTCCTTATTTGATTTAAGCAAGTGGAGAAAGAAAATGTATATACGCCAAAAGCTTTACAGACATGCTGTGCGTATGTTTTCTAAAAGATGTTCCTTTCCCTTTTGAAATTAAAAAAAAGAAAAGGTTGGAATTCACAAAGAATGACACTGGAAACAAGGTGAAAATCATCTATACTCTGTGAAAAAAAGTTAGTGACAAAAATAAACTCATTCGAAAAGTGCTGTTGGAGGAGAGCCGTACAGATATAAAAGCCAGAAACAAAGAAAAGTGGTTATTCAATCAAGTCAAGCCTGAATTCTCACTAGAGCAAAAATGAGTAACTTAAGCCTATCCTACCATGCACATATAATGGAAATACATGGTGACCAGAATAGACTATATTGCTGGGAAAAATGGGTTGGAGGAGTAGGAAAAGAGGAAGGTTTAACATGAAATGGGTTAACTCAATAGAGGAATCCACAGCTTTTGGTTTGCAAGATCTGAGTAGAACTTATTGGAAAAAACACTATTGCTAGGAAGAAGAGGCAGTAGGAATAGAGAACAACCTAACGTTAGATGCTGTTGGCTTGCAAGATATAAATAAAGCAGTTAATTATAGGACGTTCTGGAAGTAAGTAACTCACATAGAGCCTCTCCACACTGGAATATAATTATGATATATGGAACCATGATGGCACTCTTTGTCACAAACGGAAAGACCTCATCTGCTTTTGTTTTAACTTACAGCAATCTGTCCTTCCCCTTTAAGAGCTGCCCCACGCCAAAAGGGCACAAATCTAGGGCATGAAGTCTATTTGGCATAGCTCAATGAAATACAAAATAGCTCTTTGTTTAGCTTTTATAGTACTTTGTACTTTCATCAAAATGACTCTGAGGCTGCTGTTAACTGAGGAGACAACTCTATGATGTTTCAGAGGTGGCATTAAAAGGGAAGTTGGAGAAATCTTCTCTATTTTAATCTTCTTTTATTTTTAATATCTCCCTAACTGAAACAGCCCTTTAAAACCATGCCAGGTTGATGCATTGCTATATCAATACTCCACTTACTTTTAAAAACATTTTAAAACAACCCCCAGAAAAGGACAGTCCCCTGAATGAGGTCTGTGAGGAAAAGACAAGAAAAGGGGCTATGTTGACTCCAAGGCAGTGCAGCCCCAGACTTGGCTGAAGGAGGCAAAATGGTGTGTGTGTGTGTAAAAACTTGCTTTGAGATCATCCCCAGCCACAAAGAATCATTGAAATTGATCCTGACTGAGAGGGACAAAAGTTCAGTCCTCCCTGGTTTTTTAAGGTTTATGATTAATTTTAGAACATTGACAGTTTATAAGATAGCCCAGAAACTCAGATTTTTTTTTCTGCCTTTAAAATGGGTGTTTTCAAAGACCTTATTAGAAACTTGGATGCTTGGATTCCTCCCAAATTTAAAAAAAAAGCCCTCCCATGAGAAGTGTCCATACAAGTCTTTCAGTCACCGCTTTCCTCATATGTAAGTGCACCGGGTTTAGACATGAGTACGATTTACCCATTTTATTTGCAAGCATGTTTACCCAGCTTATCCATGAGCAAGGATTACCCAGTTTATTTGTGAGTACGGAAACAGCAGCACAGGTTAGTGGTGGCATGAGGGGTGAAGGTTGGAGAGAAGGAAGGGAGGTAATCCCCCTGCCCCCCTCTTTTTCCTCAGCCAGACTTCTGTTGGAGCTGTGCTGCCTGGTGTGGCCAGAGCCCATGCAGTCATCCTGGCCCCCTTCCTTGCCTTTTTCTGTGGCCTTCATTCACCAGCCCCTGGTGACTTTCCTTGTTGGCTCAATAAAGTAAGTGGCATATCAAAACAGCAGGAAGCTTTCTGGCCACCTCATGCACTTTCCCCAATGCAGAGAGTTGTGAACAACTGTATGTTCTCTCCCACCCCTGCCCCCCCATGATATTTCCCCTCACTTCATCAACCTCATGAGAGTCATTCCATTCCATCTCCCCAGTTCACACCCCACACAGCACCAACTGGGTGCAAAACAGCCACCCATACAGTGGTGCCTCGCTAGACAGTTACCCCGCATGACAGTTTTTTCGCTAGACATTGGCTTTTTGCGATCGCTATAGTGATTCGCAAAACAGTGATTCCTATGGGGGAATTTCACTGGACAATGTTTGGTCCCTGCTTCGCAAACCGATTTTTGCTAGAGGACGATTTTGACAGCTCCCTCCGCGCTCGCAAACAGGTGTTTTCGGGACCTAAGCTTCGCAAGATAGCGATTTAAACAGCTGAGCGGCAGTTCGCAAAGCAGCTTTCCTATGGCCGATCTTCGCTAGACAACAACGATTCTTCCCCATTGGAATGCATTAAACAGGTTTTAGTGCATTCCGATGGGGAAATGCTTTTCACTAGACAATGATTTCGCTAAACAGCTATTTCAGTGGAACAGATTATCATCGTCTAGCGAGGCACCACTGTATAGGCTATACAATGCGATAATTAGGAATACAGTACGTTGAATGGTACACCTAGTGCTGTGCCAGAAAGGAACAGGTCAACTCTTAGAGAGGCAGGATGGACTGATCTAAGCAGAACCTCATGTGGATGCCGTTATTGATTCTGAAACAAATTGTAGAAACTGCGATCCAAACAGGGATCTCTATCCCTATCTGGACAGACCCACCGTGGCTTCTTGGGATGGGGCTGTGTCCCTTCCCATTGCTTCCTGTGTCACCCACAGGGCACACAAGGACTTTCTGAGGAAAGAGAGAGAGAAAGACTTTAAATGTTAAAAATGTATGGGATGCGAGAGTATTGGGGAGGCAGGGTTGGTGGGGCCTCACTTTGCCCATCCCATCTTACACTATATAACTATAGAAGAGGCCGGAGTTGTGACTGATGACATTCAGTGGGATTTACTTCTACATAATTCTGAAAAAATACGGATAGTGCTTAAAGACCAATGCATCATCTTGCAAACCAGAGTCTAGCTGATGGTACCTTCTTCAATTACTGATTTGTTGAAATCCTTCCTACAGAAGTAGAAGTGTGGCTGCCCATGTAGGCCTCTACATTATTACTTCCAAGTCCTATTGAGTCCAATGGGCCTTGCCCAGAGAAGTCATTACAAAACAGAAGCTGAAACTGTGTGATCCAATAGGGCTGATTCAAGTTAAAAATAATCCAGCTTTCCTTAGAGGTGCTTGATGACTTAAGTCCACATTTCATTAAGGTATAACAGACTGTAAAGGGAGGTTTGTCCCCATCCATGTAGATTGTTGGCTTGATTACTGTGGTGCTGTTTCAGAGAAATAGACTACACTGCCTGAGCTGGCCTTGGGTAAAACCGGGTCAGCACATAGTCTGTCAGCGAGGTTGGCAGGTAGGAGAAAGGGAGGAAGAAAAGCTTTGCATCCCAGCCTGCAGAGTAGCGAGTGCGAGGATGGCAGGAAGTCAGGGCATGCTCTATTTTGTCAGTCACCAGGCGGAGGTTGGTGGAGCTTCGTGTTGCAAATTCATGCATTCTGTAATCTGCATATGAAAAATATAAAGCAAACAAAAAGCTAGATCTTTTGTCTCCCTGAACAGATATCTTTTGAACTAGGGTTCTGTAACCCCCAGGATGAGGTGTAGTAGCGAGTGGAGGGGTCTGGTTGGGTATCTCAGTGATTTAGGTACTGTATCTGGTTACAGAGCCAGAGGTTGGGAGTTAGATTCCCCATGGTGCCTCCTGCAAGTAGAGCTGTATAATCCCAGGACGCCCCCAGAAGAAAGGAATGGTAAGCCACTTCTGATTATTCTCTACCTGAAAAGGGTTGCATTGAGTCAGACCTGACTTGGAAGTACATAGTTATTATAAAGTAAACCCAGAGGCTTTGGATTGCTGACTACCACCGTTACTGGCCATGCCATGTAGGGCTGAACGAAATGGTAGCCGAAAACCAGCCAGAGAAATCTGGATTGAAGAAGACTCTGCTGGGGTGATACTTGAAAAGCCTGAATGGATGAACTTCTCAGGAACATCTGTTCCCTCATACTGTGGAAATTGTGAGTGTCTAAAGTGGTCCCTGCAAAGCTACCATTTTGGAGCAAGTTTGTGGGTCAGAACTTTTAAAGGAGAGAATGAACCCCTGAAACGTAATCAAGGAAGTGGCTGTTGCAGTTGAGAACATCTGGTAGCCCCCTAGTGGCCTATTCTGGTTATAAAGATAAGCAGCATTACCATTTCCACACACAGAGTTCCATAATATTATTTTATATATTATTTAATTACTTGAGGGAGGGAAGAATACAATTCTTCAGTTTTTTTATTCTGCTACATTCACCTTGGCTGAAATCCCATGCTCAATAATTTGACAATTTTGGTGCACATTTAGCAGCAAGAAAGCAAATGAAATTCTCAGCCTTCTGCTCTGACTAGTTTCAGCCATACTCAATAAGAAGAGGCCTGTGATGTAGCTGCCGGCCTTGCAGATATTAAATATTGGAAATGAAAGACAGCAACCCTTAATTATGGATTCTAGAAAATTCTGGTCAAAAATGAACAGGATGGACTTCTCACCCATCCCTGCCAAATGGCATTGGAAATAAACTTAGCAGGTAGAATCAGAAGTAAACATGATCTATCCATCTGGGGTTTTCTTTGCCTCAAATCTTTCTGTTGCTAATCCCAAGAGGGCCTCTCCTGAAAATCATGACATCCTAACATAACAGTCCCTCAGATAACCGGGCCTCGAGCCATTTCAGTGATTATGAGTTAAAGCCAACACCAGTAAACTACTGGCAACCCGTGCTGGTCAGCCAGTGCAAACCATTTTCTTCTCCATCTGTAAATGTGTGTCTCGTGTTACTTCTCTGCCTTAAAAAAAAAAGTACACAAATAATTTATTTTATAACTTCTTAATCCCGACAATTCTTCTCCTTTCCATTTGCCACACAATTTATGGCAAAACATGGCTTGCAAGACGGTTTTCTGAAACTTAACTTACATTTCTCAAAGCACTGCTGCCCATAAGCTTCTTTGACATCAGAAGATGCCTGGTTCCATATAGACTTGAGTCTTTCCTTTATGTTTTGGCCAATGGATGTAGCAAAACCACCAGGCTCAATAATGCTGACTTGGACTCCAAAGGGAATGAGCTCACGCCTGAGTTAGAAGGAAAACAAGAAGCAAAGTTGTAGCAATTACAATATAATACTGGTAAGAAATGTTTACTTTGAGAATGCTCTGCCCAGTTGAACGGAAGCGTCCCTACAATTTCTGTCATAGGAAAAGTGCTTCTCAAGAGCACTTACTTAAAAAACAAGAATAGATGTTGATAGCATGGAGGTTTGTCTTTTGATATGGACGCAGGCAAAAGCGACCCTCTGAACTTTGCCAAGCTGCTGTGATGCCTGGGAGTGCAGGGGGGTGCCTGGAAGACTGAGGGTAAAGGAGGGTAAAGAAGGAGAGGACTTTCTACCGTCATCATCACACCCCAGAAGTTCCCTTTGCTGCTGCTGTTCCCCTTGGGGAAAGACAGAGGGAGCCAGCTGAGAAACAGCTCTTGAGAAGCCTGCGATCATCAGTCGGTTTTGTCAGAGCACCATGCTGTGAAATGCCCAGTGAAAAGCAACTGGAAATCTTGAATAAGAAATTATTAGCCATTTTGAACGGTGTGACAATAGTTTTTAAAAAAGGAAGCTTGTAGCCGTGAAGTAATTTGTATAAAATAATTTCATGAGGTGAACTAGATAGTTTTTTTACCAATGAAAACCAGTTGCAGAGTTATAATCGTAGAACTCAGGTTCATATTTTCTGCAGAAATTATGAAATTATGTTAGCGTATTTAAAGTTTGCTGGGATATTAAAGATTCATTCAATGTTTAAAATGTATGATATGTACTGCATATAAGTTAATTGTGATTTTAAAGAAAATTCTTTTTTATAAAGAATGGAAGCTCAACTTGATTCTTCTTTGTTATACTTAAGAGAAGTTGAGAATTATTGTTCTTATATCCTTGTTTTCAGGCTTATAGCACTGCTACAAATTAATGACCAACATAATGGCCCCTTATTAACTTGCAAACAAAGTGCTGTGGTTTCTTTTATTGAGTTTGTCCATCATATGTTGGGACTTTGTTTCCAACAACTTTCCTGCTGCTTCACTTCCTTTTTTAGTCCCTTTGTAGCTGCTGTTCATTTTTTTTCCTAATTTCTTGGTTGCAGTCACCCTGTACTGATGATAAAACCGAGGTACTAAATTCTTGTTATGAAAAACCTTCAATATCTTCTATTTTTTCATTGTCAGCATTAAAATTATGGAATACTGTACTTCTCTAGTCATTCTTTTTGTCATCTTATAATTCAGGTGTAATACTCTACTTGTTCATTTTAAACATCATCTGCTCCTGCTTCAGATCATTGTTGTTTGCTGCAAGTAATGTGGTTCACATTTGAAATGACTGATTTTTCTTTCACGGCTCCTTCACATGGGTGTAATCCAGTAACTTGTGGGAAATGTTCTGCATAAAGATTGACCAGATAAAGTGACGATCTGTACCCTTGTCAAACCTTTTGCTAATGGGGAACCACTCTATTTTTCCATATTCTATCTTAACAGGATACTCTTGTCCAGAGGGTAGGTGATGCTTTATCACCATCAAATGTTGTGGGACACACTTGTTGTGGATTCTGGGCTTTCCTTCCCTGCTGCAGTGCTTCTTGCATATGATAGTTTTTTTGGGAAACACTTCTGAAGAGGCCAAAACAAAAGAAATGCCATGTCCCTAGTGGCTATATTTCCTAGCATCTGTTATTAATTGCTGTAATTCAAAACACCTGGGTCTGTATTTGTAACTGGAAATTTGGATGGGGACTTTGCCAATTAACCGAGCAAAAAAGAACACTGGAAAGCTGGTATTTTACCTCAGGCTGTCAGAGAAGGCCTCCACACCATACTTGGATGGGCAGTAACCTCCTCCAAAGAATGCCAGTCTCCCCAGCATACTGGCCACGTTGACCACCCTCCCTCTGGCTCTTCTCACCATGGGCAGCATGTGCAGTGTTCCATCAATCAGCCCCAAGAGGTTGACACGTATCACATTTTCAAAGTCCTCCTTGGTCAGCCATTCATTGGGAGTTAAAGGAGAACCTACACCAGCATTGTTGACCAAGCCCCAGAGACCTGTATCAAGAAACAATTTGCATACATAAAATTCTGCTTATTTCCAGTGGTTACTACATATCTTAAGATTTAGACATTTACAAGGGCTATACAGCAATGATCCAATTTGGTTTGGATGTCAATATGGCACTTTGGATCAGGACCTGATCCAAACCTCACGTCAGAACTATGATTTGGAAATCTGAAGACCCGTACCTTCGGTTCACTTGAACAGAAAGACTAAAATGGTTACAACCTGGCACATCACCAGGAAAACAGCCATGAAGAGAAGATTTACTGTGCCAAACTGCAGGAAGGTGACTGTTCAGATTCCTGTGACAACCGCTTTCAAATTCTGCTAAAACCTTGGCAGGAATGACCCTCCCTCTCTCCCACCAATGTCGCATTTGAGAAGAAAGGAAATGCTAGTGGGACTTGAGCAGTATTCTTCTTCTGTGGCCAAAGCATACTGGCACGAAGCCAGAAGGAGGCTAGGAGCAGGTTTGTTGTGGTAAAGATCCCCACCTTCAGAAGGTAGTATGGGAGAGAAGAGAAAAAGCTAGAGGGACTTCTGCCATACCCTGTCTCTATGGCCAATGTCTGAGGTAGCCCAGTGGCTGCTGCAGCAAGTTTGTTGTGATTTTTGTCAAGTAAAGTTGTATCTGAAGTAAACTAATCATGTTGCTTGAACAACAACCATCATGGAAGTCTGTTACCTTTGTCACCAACACTTTCTTTCACCCATTCTGTTGCTGCGGCAATGCTTTCCATGCTGGTGACATCCAAAATGGTGGTTTTGAGTCGTCCTGAGGTAGCCTTCTTGAGATCATCTGCTCCTTTCTGGGTGAGACAAGCAGACAACACCCGTATCCCCCGGGTGTCCAGCTGTCTGGCAAGCTGGTTTCCAAAGCCAGAATCACAGCCAGTGATGAAGACGTATTTCTCTATCAGATTCTTTACAGTCTGCCTCTCCCGGTACCATCGGCAAAGGAAGTAAAACACCAACAGGGCAAGCAGGTAGAGCCACATGGCTAAAGCCTGTGAAGAAGACAGGTCAGAACAGGAGAGCTTTAGATCTTGCATGTAGCCATGCATGGCTTTATGGTCATATATCTGTTGCAACAGGTGTATCTATCAGCAATAAATCCCAAAATGGGGCAGTTCAGGTGAAGGTTGATTGAAATCAATGTATCCAAAGCGCCTGATTTTCTACAGATCCATCCATCCATCCATCCATCCATCCATCCATCCATCCATCCATCCATCCATCCATCCATCCATTGAGACAGAGCATTGGAAGTAATGATAACAGCACTTTGCTTGCCTTTTTTACATTGTCTGGCCCATCATAACAATTAGTGATCGATTTACTTCTGCTTCAGCCTTGAAGATAATTTTCTACCACTGAAAACATTTGTGCTCTGACTGAGTCACTATCTTTGGATGGTTCTAAATGCAGGCCTTCTAGTGCAGCCAAACCAAACACATTGCATGATTATTCTGAATTTTCCTTATTAACATACTTTCTGTAGCAAGAAAGTAGATTCTCTGATCTCCAGTTGCTAGAGAAGGAAAAAAGAGTCCAGCAGAATACAGACTTTCCATAACATCTCGTTTGAGGGTTAGCTTGGGCAGCTTCAGAATCATCCGTGGAAAGACAAGTTCAGAAAGACATTCTCATGTAATACAATTCCCATTGGGGTGTGTGTGTTGATCACACTTCTCAGACATTTCTGTTTGTTATAAAATAATTTCAGCATGAGAATGTTGCAGTACTGTTGCACACACATTTTAATCCAGATTATTTTTCTGATTATTTTCTCTATTTCTAAAGGCTTCCTTTAGTTCATAAAACTGGCTGGATAGCTCAGTGAATTTGGTATCTGATTGTGAAGCTAGACATTAGGGGTTTGATTCCCCACTATGCCTCCCAGGAGAAGAGCCAGCCTCTGTGTCCTTTGGTAACTGCACAGTCCCCAAGAAAGGAAAGGTAAAACATGTATCCTCTATGTAGAAAATCCTGGAGAGGGTCACAATTAATTGAGATTGATTAGACAGCATGTACTTCTGTAATTATTATTTATTAATCCCTACACTGCTCCTTGCATGGGGGCAAAATCCTTTTTTAAAAAAGGAAGAAAATGCACTGCTTACACAGAAAAGATTGATATCCTTGTTCAGAACAGGACTGTGCTGAAATGCTTTCACTTTTACCCAATGCTAATGGTTACATCAAATAGCTCCTAAGAATGCAACACTTCTTTCCCTAAGCAGGAAAAGTTTAAGTCACTGATGAGCACCACAAACGAGCTACCATCGAGTTGCACAAGAGCAAACCTACCTGGCTAGTTGTGCTGGTCAGCTAACATGTCAAATTGTAGTCATCCCCACTGAGTTTTGTAACTGTTTTATACCTATTTCAATGATACCCACTGGATTTTATGCCTTTCTTGTCCAAGTGGCGATATGTCTTCGACACTTTCAGCCCTCCTCGTTAGTCAATGACATTTCTGGATCGAGACACTTCTCATGAAACGTGCCAGTTCCTCCTTAGCACACAGGGCAGCTGCCTTGATTGTCCTTCCGCTTTTTAAGATTGCCAGCGTTCTCCAGGCAGGACAGCTGTACCTTTTAAACAAATGGATTACATGCACAAAAGGAGGACAAGAAGATATCCCTTTTCACGAGTGTTACAGAATTGGGGGGTGGCAGTGGTGAGAAGAGTTGTCTAATACATTTTATTTTGATGCCAAAACTGCAAAACAAACAACGACCCCCCGCTCGGCTCCCTCAGACTAATTCTTACAAAAGATTATGCCTGTAACCTGATTCACGAGCTAAATTAAGCTGGCTGTCAGGAACTGACCTGTTGGAGAAAATGAGAAGAACTGCCCGCAGGAACTGTTTGTAGAAAACGTACTGTACTGTACAGACTTCCTCCTCTTTTCAGGCCCCTTGGCAGTTGACACTGTTTTTTTAAAAAACTTCTTGTTGTATTTTATACCCGGAAGGGAAGGGAGGCTGCTGAACTTTGAGTCAGAAAACCGCCTGGCTGCAGGGAACTCCTCCCTCCCATAGAGTAACTCGACCAGACTTCCAAACTTGGTAACATTCCTTTTATGAAGAATGAGCAGTGAGTGATAGGATGACTCTCTAGGTCCCAGAGCATCATCCTGCCACCGCTTAGTTATTTCAGTGTATCTAAATATTCCTTTGGCTGTCTAGCCAATTGAAAGTTGAGGCGAATGGAGCTCTTCTCCCTCTATGATTTTCTTACCATTTATGGTACAGAGAAGCAGGCCACCAGGGCCTCTGGTACTGATCTGAGAGTGTGATCAGATTAGGTGTTTAAACCCCTGTTTGAGCCGGGCAACATTCTTCTGATTTCCTGGCTCTGTTTGATCCGATGGTTGAGGCGTTTCTTCTGATGCTTCCACAATTCAAATACTGTGCTTCTAAGTGGAAACATTGTGCTAACACAGTACATTGTTCCATGGGAAGGGGGGGGCAGAGGATGAAAACAGCCTTGCTCCCCTGTTAAGGACAGAGTTTGAAAAACAGTGAAAAGCATCCCGCATCCCAAGACCAAACAACCTGATACTTCAAAGTGTGAATAATCTCTTCAGTCATTTGGTGGGGTGGGGCATGCAGTTGTGTGAAAAGCAGCCAGTTTTGCTAGATACAGAAAACTGGGATCAGTGTGTGCATCTTCTTGGGAAAATGTTTAATATGTTTTCAAGTTATGTTTTATCTCAGTTGAGGGTTTTAGAATAGTTGAATTTGACACTTTGTCCTGTACCCACCCACCCTGCTCTCATACTGGCCACTCTGCCCTGCTGCTGCGGTGAGGTGAGGAAGGGGGAGAGAGAGCTATGTACTTGTCTTTTTAGAAAGTTTGGCTGCTTCTGCTGCTTTAAGAATGCTCCAGCTGTTGCCATATGTCCCCACAGAAGACACCACAGAAATGAAAAGGGCCTGGCTTTGCAGTGGTGCAAAAACACTGATCCAAGCATGTGTCTTCATAGATCCATATGATTTTAACATGGGATCATCCTCAAGCCACTGTCCAATCTGTGGGCAGAGATGGTGCCTATGGTTGAGATTGTTTTGAGGATGATCCTACATAAAAATCATGTAGATCCACGAGGATCTGTGTGCCCAAAGACAGCTGTTCACTCCTCCAATCCTGCAATGGACTAGCTGTGTCTTCCCTTCCTTTTAAGCTCCCTGCACCCATCCCTCCCTCCTTCCTCCCTGACGCCCTTTTCCCCCTCTCCTACAGCTCTCCCATTCTGTTTAATATTTCTGTTATGTAAAATTGTTTTATATGTATATTTATTGTACTATTTTTTATGTTGTTAGCCGCCTAGAGTGGTCCTGATCCGACCAGATAGGCGGGATATAAATAAAATAAAGCATGCTGCTTTAATAAATAAATAAATAAATTCCCATGCAGCTCTTCTTACTGCTGCCATTTCTCCCACTGCTTCTGCTGGTTATCCAAAAATGCAATTTGCAGCGACAGTACTGTTTAGATATATGGAAACAACAGAAATAAATCAAGGGTTCATATGTGTGCTAAAATAAATTATCTCCTGGTGGAACAGTATTTCATGTCACTTTCCAAACAGACAGCATACTTCCCTGGCAAAGTAATTATGTTTCTGTTTATATCATGGAGACACCTTATGTTAAATTGCTTTTTTCCCCCAAAAGCAGAATGCGATACAACAGTGTTTCTTTTTTGTTGGTAGGATCAAGCCCATAGTTCTCCTAAAGACTGCTTTAACTAAATGCACCTTTGTTCCAAGGACATCCATTAGTGCAAGCAACAAGAGAATGCCATATGCAGTCCCCTGTACTCTGGAAAATACAGGCAGGTCCTCAAGAACAAGCCTCAAGTCAAAGAGAGGAAAGAAAGAAAAAGACCAACTAAAAGCAGACACTGCCACTTTAAAAGAAATGGCAGTGAATGTGAGGGAAGGCAGAGAGAGAGAAGGGGAAGAGAGGGCAGGAGAATATAAAGGGGGATCAAATGGCAAAGGGACAGACTGGGTGGACAAAGAACACACACATACAAACGCAAGAAGGTTTTACCTGAGGGATGGGAGTGGATTGAACTTGAGAACCTATGAAGGGGAGAGTGGGGAAAACTGACCGTGCTTTGGGAGGAGGTTGAAAGGAGGAGAGAGGACCCTAATAAGAGGAAGCCTTCTTATTAGGGGGAGAAAGAAAAAGAAGAGAAGAGAAGGAGAGAGCTAGCTGTGGCACAGAGGAATGATGAGAGGGGGTCTCCCAAGAGAGAGAGAGAATCTTCACTGCAGGACAACCCATGGAGACCTGGCATGATAACCCAGGAGAATGCTGGGGACTGCCCAGTGATGAGGAGTGGTGAAGAAAGGAATCTGACTTAGCAAAGCTGCTTCATTGTTCTCAAAGATTGCACAAAGCATGGTCAAGCTGCCCTAATGGCCAGTGAAGTGAACCAGATAATCTCTGTGTTTATCAAATGCTGCTAATGGGCTTCTTTGTACTTTATCGATGCATACCTGAGTTTATGGTGGCAGGGTGCTATCTAGGGTGTAGTTCACATGCTTGTATTGCCCCCAAAGCATAACAGAGCAATGATATATTACCCAGCTGCAACATGCTGGTGTAAACAGCTAGTACGGAGTGCCAACCTTACCAATTGCATAATAATCTGAATCTCTTATTGAAATTGACACTCAAAGGAATCTTGTCAGCCACAAGGCTTGGTTTTAGTCTGTTTCCAGCAATTAAATGTCCTGGGAACAGACTAGAGTGCACCAACCTGGTAAAAAAATATACAGTGGTGCCCCGCATAGTGACAATAATCCAGTCCGAAAAAATCATCGCTATACGGATTCATCGCTATGCGGGGCAAAAAAGCCCATAGGAACGCATTAAAACATGTTTAATGCGTTCCTATAGGGAAAAAACTCACCTTTAAGCGAAAATCCTCCATACGACTGCCATTTTCGCTGCCCAGTAAGTGAGAAAGGGCGCGAAAACATGACCGCCATTTTCACTGCCCGGTAAGCGAGAAAGGGCGCGAAAACACGGCTGGCGGCCATTTTATTTACCTGGTGGCCATTTTGGAACCGCCGATCAGCTGTTTTTAAAACATCTCAATGCGAAAATTGGTAAGCGAAACACTTACCGATCATCGCAAAGCGATGTGCTGCCATCTAAAACATCACAATGCGATCGCAAAAACGATCGCAAAAACACATCGCTACGCGGAGTCGTCGTTAAATGAATCGCTCGTTATGCGGGGCATCACTGTATAAAGGCCTGAGGGGCACAAAAAGATGTGGATTGGGGGCCTAGGGGCAAATTGGTCCACTCATCATGTGGTCACTAGAAAACAAGTGAACTGATGTGCTCTTGCAGCACATTAAGCAGGGGACAAATGTTAATCTCAAGCCCTGACTGTTGACTGCTTAGGTAGATACAGAAACAACATATTTTCATGCAGAACTGTTGTTGTATTTACCTCCTACATGGCTGTGAGAAGGAATTCTCAGGGGACATTTAAAAGGGAGAATGGTGAAAGTAGTTATATAGCATAGCATTCATCAAATCACAATTTTGACAGCTACAACTGCCCTGTAAGGTGGGACATCTGGTCAAGGATCGACCCTGGCCCCTTCTGCCAGAAGGGGCGGGGTTTTGGGTGACGTCAGGGGGTTGTGGAGGCCCCCGTGGACCTATAGGAGGTTTACCTAGAGTTGGGGGACCCCCGTGACCCTAGGGAGGCCTGAGGATTGGCTCCTGAAGGGTAGGGCAGGCCTGTGTCCTTGTAAACCAATAGGAGTCATTGGAGGGTCTGTGTAGAAAAGGGGGGGGGGACCTAAGGCATGCCTGAGCATGCCTTAGGCCACCTGACTCAGAAAACCCCACAGCCGCGTTTTTGGAGAGTTCTCCATGTTGGCCACTCTTTGCACCTCATTGGTTGGAAAGGCTGCAGGCTCTGATGGAGGGTGATGGGATAGAAGGCCAGCCAGAGGAAATGGCTGAGCTCAGCAGTTCTGGGCAGCAGCTTTATTCTGGCTGGAAGATGTCCTCCAGCCTGCTGTTCTGAGGAACTCTGCTTGAGCACTGAAACCATGTTACTCTGTGGGGAGAGCCGAGAGGTAAGAAGCGTTATTGTTTTCCATGAGAACAACTCTTAGCTGCCTAAATCTCAGAATAGGCTTTGTCCTTAAGGTTGCTTTTGAGCCTGGATGTGTTTTTGTATCACCCTGGATAGAAGTAATAAAATTGTACAGTTTTCTCATTGACTGCTTGAGGGATTGTTTGTGCTAAAACCTGTGTCTTCCCCTTAACAGGCTTTTTGAACATTTTGTGGGGTTTACATTTTCTACCTTGCAGAGTGGGTTTGCTTCCAAAAGCAGTCTGCTACTTTTAGGTTCCCTGGAGAACCAACGGGCTTGCAGGACGTGCTAGTGCTATTTCCCAATCACTAGCACATTGACTCTCCTGGCAAACACCCCATTGCTTAAAGCAATGATAGTGTGACTAAGTGGCCAGTGCATTCTCTTTGCAATAGGCTAGCAATCTTCACAATATTAATACAGTTTCCCCAAAAACAAGACCTAACTTGAAAATAAGTCCTAGTATGATTTCTCAAAATGCTCGTAATATAATCCCTACCCCCCCCAAATAAGCCCCAGTTAAGTGAAATCCCACTCTCCACCATTGTGCAGCAACCAGAAGATGGCATGACTATATCTGAACAAATGTAGATTCTTGTACATGAAGAAAAAAAATCCCTGAAAATGAGCCCTACACCGTTTTCTGGAGCAAAAATTAATATAAGACCCTGTCTTATTTTTGAGGAAAAACATGTAATGAACTTGGAAGGAAAAAAAATGGAAGATGGGTCAGCAGGTCCTTTCAACTGGTTTAGCTTTGCTTGGTTATTCAGGGGAATGCATTTCCCCCGAATGGTGTTGACTTTGCTGTTAGGTCTTTGAGTATTGATTAGGCAGAAGACTTGTTCAGCTTCCTTCGTTTCAGGTGGGCCCTTTTGATGGCCTTGCTT